GAACTCAAAATTATTTATCAAACCTCTTCCTATAGTTAGATAAAGTAATCTCTCCTAATTAAATTACTATATTCCTATGCAAAATAATTTGGAATAGATTCATTAAGTTCGAACTCTCATAAAAGTTACACACGGCATATAAGTATATTCCTATCTTATACACAAACCTGGCAATTCAATCCTAAGAAGAATTAATCAAACGCTTGCCATCATATTCAGATCTATCCCTAGAATTCATCTCCCAATTTCATCTAAGGAATCAAATTAATTGTTGGCCACACAATCATATATTAAGCACAAAATATAACAAACAACTCATGTACGATCAATAGAACTAGAAACGAGAGTAGATTAATTTAACTTGACATAGGTTCCGTTGTAATCTTAATAATAAATTAGTTCATAACGTAATTGAAAAATATCATTCTAAAATTGAACAACAACTTAGAAAATCAAGAAATAAAAGTAAGAGAAAATAATGAAAACTTAGGTGCAATCTCCAATCCTTCTCTAGCCTTCAAGTCTAATCTTCTTCATGTCGATTCCTTCGATTTGTGCCTTCAATTTTCTATCAACTCTTGGTCTTTCTCAAATGTTTTCAGCCCCCGAAATTCAGAATATCTCATCCCCACACAAACCCTAGCATATATGTAGCTTTAGAGTCCNGTGTCGATTCCTTCGATTTGTGCCTTCAATTTTCTATCAACTCTTGGTCTTTCTCAGATGTTTTCAGCCCCCAAAATTCAGAATATCTCATCCCCACACAAACCCTAGCATATATGTAGCTTTAGAGTCCAATTTCGGGTCAAAATTTGCGTCATGGACCAACACAAGCGTAGGGGTGCTGAAAAGGTGCTGCAAAGGCGCTGAATGGGCGCAGGGGCACTGATTCTGCGTTGGAACAATGCTAGCCTTTTTTAAGCCTTCAGCTCCCTTGTTGCTTAGCCTTCAAAAACCCAACACTTAGGTTCTAAATTGACCTTATTCCTTCCAAATGATCTTGTTTGCTTCCAAATGATGANCAGGGGTGCTGAAAAGGTGCTGCAAAAGCGCTGAATGGGCGCAGGGGTACTGATTCTGCGCTGGAACAGCGCTAGCCTTTTTTAAGCCTTCAGCTCCCTTGTTGCTTAGCCTTCAAAAACCCAACACTTAGGTTCTAAATTGACCTTATTCCTTCCAAATGATCTTGTTTGCTTCCAAATGATGATTCCTACAAGATAATATCAAAACACATAAAACAAATAAAAAAGGAACATAAAATAATTAAAAACTTATAATTTCATCGACCGAAAGTACTCAATTCGTAGGTATAAAACCCACTCATCAGCTACGATAGCCTTCCAATGAGTTATTTGCAACTCTACCCCTGCTCTACCAGCCTTTTTATTAGATGACCACAACTCTGCCACTAATATTGCGTAAGCAACCTCAGCCTCAACCTCGGCCTCTAGCTTAGATTTTCTCTCATGAGTCACTAAAAGCTCGACTTTAAGAGGTGTAATCTCTCATAAGCCACGCTAAACTGCTCTTCAACAGTCCGTAGTGTATGCATCTCCCTCCTCAGAGTTCTTGATACACGCTCATGCTGGTTGGCCCTCGTAAAAAGAAAAATAGCGGTCGTGGACACCTATAAACATGTAAAAAGAGGAAAAGGTCAATGTCATCAGAGGATACGTGGAATAAAATTCCGCAAAAAACAAGTACAGATGATTACCCTAGCTAAGCTCTCCATCATTGTATCAATAATNTTCAACAGTCCGTAGTGTATGCATCTCCCTCCTCAGAGTTCTTGATACACGCTCATGCTGGTTGGCCCTCATAAAAAGAAAAATAGCGGTCGTGGACACCTACAAACATGTAAAAAGAGGAAAAGGTCAATGTCATCAGAGGATACGTGGAATAAAATTCCACAAAAAACAAGTACAGATGATTACCCTAGCTAAGCTCTCCATCATTGTATCAATAATACCATCAGTACCATGATAACTGACTTCTCTAATGTCCAAGGGTGACACAAAACTTGAGAATCGATCCTGAACGATATTCACATCCTGAAGCATGGACACTGGACAACTACTGGACGCTGGAGAAATAGGCAACCCTCTGGTCTATACGGAAGAAGGAGTCCTTACCTCTGAAGACGCCCTAACTAGCAGAGTAACCAAGGAAGGTACCTAAATAACTAGAACAAGTGAAAAAGGCACCTCCGGGGAAAGTTGNGCAACCCTCTGGTCTATACGGAAGAAGGAGTCCTTACCTCTGAAGACGCCCTAACTAGCAGAGTAACCAAGGAAGGTACCTAAATAACTAGAACAAGTGAAAAAGGCACCTCCGGGGAAAGTTGTGGGGGCATCATCGAACCTTACCCCCTTAGGTGGAGTAGTCGCCTACGCAACCCTAGCAGAGTAGAGAGCCTATACCCTCGATTTATTTACCACGGAGCCTAAGTAAAGGGAGGCATTTTTAGAAATAGAAAATACCATCATATTCACCATAAAAATTACATATCTCTCTTCTTGGAAAAGGAGCTACGAGCCTATTAAGAAGAAAATGGAGTGGAAGCACTCTTGAGGGGAAACCTCTAGCAATGAGAATCATATAATCCTTAATAGGTCAGACCCTCACAGTTTGAAACCTCCTACCCTCATCTGTTGACAACTCTGCAAACCTAAAAAAAAGCTAAATGCGTGGTGAAAGCATAAATGACACATCAACTGAATAGAAATAAGAAAAAAAAAAGATTTATACGTATCCTTGTGGGAGCACCCCATGTTACTGGAACCAGAGAGCGATCCTCCTCTATAGCTCACTCTCCTCGTAGGAATAAAAATTAAGCCTTCCAACTATGATAGTTGGAGTGTAGTCCAGTAATCAACTTTCCTACCCCCGGAGAAAAGTGATACCAACATTGATTGGGAGTGGGGTCCTCCTATAACATATAGGCTACAAACAATTCTTCGCAAGTAGGAAAGGTGCTCAGGCCATGTAACCCTCACCACAATGAAAGAAATGCTAACAACATTCTCCAAACATTTGGAGCTAATCGCGTTGGCACAAGAGACAAATGTGCCAAGACACGTCACACAAGCGTAGGAATCGGGAATCTCAAACCTATCTCTAGCACCTCTTCACAAATGACAATATCCCTAGATGAATTATCAGAGACTGGCTTGCCCATCTCAACCCGAAGACATGACACATTAAGGGGAATACAAAAAGTAGAGACAATCATAACAATTTCAGCATCAGTATTGATATGCTGGAAATAGTGCTCACCTTGGAGCCATCGTCATCAATAGCTATTTTGTCATGATGTTTGCATTTTTATGGACGCTGGGTAACATCATTTCTGCCATCATCACCCCCTGAAGCCCGTCACCACACCAGCGCACGTGTCTGCGCCCATAGCGCACACCTTGTGCCCTATCACCTCGATGCCCACAACCTGTAGCCTGGACGCCCCGCGGCCTTCTGCCTTATGCATTGTCGACTTAGCACCCGCGGCACCCATCTCACCCGTGCCCTGCCTGTCAGCATCACCCACGGCTATCGTGCCTAGTAATTATAACATGTCACCAGGCCTCTCCTACACCACGGCACCTGTCTGAGCCACCTTGCCTAGCGCGTTTGCCTGTGCCTTGCCCAATGCGCCCATGCCTACTTGGCCGACGCCCTCACCAGCGTTTGCATGGCTGCTGTGCTCACCATAATGTGTCTCGTGGGCGCCTGGCGCATCTCCTACTCGCTCGCCTCCTTGCACCTCAGCTTCGAAGCCCAGTGCCTTGCCAGCCACACCCTTGCCAACACCCAGCCATGGTGCCTGGGTCTTGGTGCCCAGCGTTGCCTTGTCAAGCGTCATCTCTGCTCCTTTTTTACCTCCAAACGACTTCTCACTTCTTCTTTCGCCTCATATATGTATAAGGAGATCATGAGATTCCTCATTCTTCTTTAGCCCTCAAGATGAGTATGTGAGTGTCTTATTTAAAGGATTAGTGTATTGCTAAAAAAAATTAGATTTTGCTAAAAAAGAAATTTGCTGCTAAAAGATGACTCCTAATTGTCTTCTGCTAAAANTTATTTAAAGGATTAGTGTATTGCTAAAAAAAATTAGATTTTGCTAAAAAAGAAATTTGCTGCTAAAAGATGACTCCTAATTGTCTTCTGCTAAAANGCTACGAGCCTATTAAGAAGAAAATGGAGTGGAAGCACTCTTGAGGGGAAACCTCCAGCAATGAGAATCATATAATCCTTAATAGGGCAGACCCTCACAGTTTGAAACCTCCTACCCTCATCTGTTGACAACTCTGCAAACCTAAAAAAAAGCTAAATGTGTGGTGAAAGCATAAATGACACATCAACTGAATAGAAATAAGGAAAAAAAAGATTTATACGTATCCTTGTGGGAGCACCCCATGTTACTGGAACCAGAGAGCGATCCTCCTCGATAGCTCACTCTCCTCGTAGGAATAAAAATTAAGCCTTCCAACTATGATAGTTGGAGTGTAGTCCAGTAATCAACTTTCCTACCCCCGGAGAAAGTGATACCAACATTGATTGGGAGTGGGGTCCTCCTATAACATATAGGCTACAAACAATTCTTTGCAAGTAGGAAAGGTGCTCAGGCCATGTAACCCTCACCACAATGAAAGAAATGCTAACAACATTCTCCAAACATTTGGAGCTAATCGCATTGGCACAAGAGACAAATGTGCCAAGACACGTCACACAAGCGTAGGAATCGGGAATCTCAAACCTATCTCTAGCACCTTTTCACAGATGACAATATCCCTAGATGAATTATTAGAGACTGGCTTGCCCATCTCAACCCGAAGACATGACACATTAAGGGGAATACAAAAAGTAGAGACAATCATAACAATTTTAGCATCAGTACTGATATGCTGGAAATAGTGCTCACCTTGGAGCCATCGTCATCAATAGCTATTTTGTCACGATGTTTGCATTTTTATGGACGCTGGGTAACATCATTTCTGCCATCATCACCCCCTGAAGCCCGTCACCACACCAGCGCACGTGTCTGCGCCCATAGCGCACACCTTGTGCCCTATCACCTCGATGCCCACAACCTGTAGCCTGGACGCCCCGCGCCCTGCTGCCTTATGCATTGTCGACTTAGCACCCGCGGCACCCATCTCACCCGTGCCCTGCCTGTCAGCATCACCCACAACTATCGTGCCTAGTAATTATAACATGCCACCAGCCCTCTCCTACACCACGGCACCTGTCTGAGCCACCTTGCCTAGCGCGTTTGCCTGTGCCTTGCCCAATGCGCCCATGCCCACTTGGTCGACGCCCTCACCAGCGTTTGCATGGCTGCTGTGCTCACCATAATGTGTCTCGTGGGCGCCTGGTGTATCTCCTACTCGCTCTCCTCCTTGCACCTCAGCTTCGAAGCCCAGTGCCTTGCCAGCCACACCCTTGCCAACACCTAGCCATGGTGCCTAGGTCTTGGTGCCCAGCGTCGCCTTGTCAAGCGTCATCTCTGCTCCTTTTTCACCTCCAAACGACTTCTCACTTCTTCTTTCGCCTCATATATGTATAAGGAGATCATGAGATTCCTCATTCTTCTTTAGCCCTCAAGATGAGTATGTGAGTGTCCTATTTAAAGGATTAGTGTATTGCTAAAAAAATTAGATATTGCTAAAAAAGAAATTTGCTGCTAAAAGATGACTCCTAATTGTCTTCTGCTAAAAGAGAATTCTATTGATAAAAAAGAATCCTACTACTAAAAGAGGACCAAGACAACATGACAAGGTCTTTTAATAGTGTCCTCGCCCCCAAATCTCATTAGACTCTGGGAATGGAGGCAAATGATTAGCCTGGCCCAAACTAGACCTACAATTATAGACCAGGGCCAGACCACAAATGCAGACCAACAAAGGCCCAGCCACAATTTCAGTTGGGCCAAGCCCACCTTCCTGAGATACCTAGCCCATCATTAGTGCACATGGGAATCTCCATCTGAGAAAAGGGAATCCATGGAGACTCCGTCATCAGGGGCACATCGCCAATATCACAAGATCACCTCGCTCGTTATGAGATAGGGTGAGCTTCAAAGAATTACCCTACTATCACCTCCTCGTTACGAGGATAAGACGAGTTTCACGAAATCACCCTACTCCCTATTATTAGGATGGCACCTCAACTAGAGTCCCTCGAAGCCAACTTCACTTGCCTATAAATTGTAAGCCNTTTCACGAAATCACCCCACTCCCTATTATTAGGATGGCACCTCAACTAGAGTCCCTCGAAGCCAACTTCACTTGCCTATAAATTGTAAGCCCTGCCTACACATGGGGGACATCAGACATGTCTCAACACACTACACCTCTTGAGTAATAAGATTCTCTGGCCACTATCGCCATTTTCAGTAGAGTTGTTCACCTAGACCGAACTATCTAATCTTTGTGTTTACTTGTGTTGACCNCTTCACGAAATCACCCTACTCCCTATTATTAGGATGGCACCTCAACTAGAGTCCCTCGAAGCCAACTTCATTTGCCTATAAATTGTAAGCCCCGCCTACACATGGGGGACATCAGACATGTCTCAACACACTACACCTCTTGAGTAATAAGATTCTCTGGCCACTATCGCCATTTTTAGTAGAGTTGTTCACCTAGACCGAACTATCTAATCTTTGTGTTTACTTGTGTTGACCCCCCCTTTACTTTATCCTTGATTGATTTTGCATAAACTCACTTTTATGCATCATCAAGAGGTACAATCAGGTTGTCAATTGCCAATCTAGATTGAATATCTATAGGATATTTTTCAAGCTTGTGTTGGATCAAAGCGTTTATTGTTGGACCAAAAGTTATAGTTGTTAGTGAAGGCACAACTTTTTTATTTTAACTAGCTCAGTAGCCCCCATGAGTCGGGTTGGTTAAACCCTTCCACCGAGTCTCAAAGAGACTTGCTACACCTCTATCGAGGCCAACAATCTCCCCCCAGCAACTACCCTGGGACTGATACCAATTATTGGATCGAAGTGCATACCACTACTCTGAAAATTATAGCTGGCAGTGAAGGCACAACTTTTTTCTTTTAACTAGCTCAACAACCCCCCCCCCCCCAATAGTTCAGTTTGGTNAGACTGATACCAATTATTAGATCGAAGTGCATACCACTACTCTGAAAATTATAGCTGGCAGTGAAGGCACAACTTTTTTCTTTTAACTAGCTCAACAGCCCCCCCCCCCCAATAGTTCAGTTTGGTTAAACCTTTCGACCAAATCTCAGGGAGACATATTGCACCTTTATCCAAGCCAACAACTTGGCTAATATCAAGTTCCTAAAGGAGGACCTTAATTTGAGTGTTGAAATTTGGTACTTATAGTTTGAACAATAAGGTTCCAATCCAATGAATATGAGGAGATTAAGGTCAATCAATTCATTGACTATGGACGCTGCTATTTGGAGTAAGGAAATAATAATTTGAATTTGATCAAAGTAATGTTCCTCACAAATAAATGTATTGCCTTATGATAAGCAATTAGGGTTTTTAATACTCATCAAGTTCAAAATTTATCCTTTATTGGGCCACCTCCTCTACCCAGCCAGCCCATAACAAAATAAAAATGTTCGCCATGATTGCTGCATGCAATATTATAACCAAAACACTAGAATCTAATTTAATTTTCAACGAATTGGAGGGAGAAAGAGATTGAGATTGATTTTGGTCCACAGAGGAGGTTGTAGATAGGGTTTGTTTTGGTCATCTAAAGGACGAATAAGACCTAAAATATGTAACTAATTCACATTTTAATACATCATGTGCTCGTTTCAATGTACCTTGAGCCCATCCAGACATCAACCTATTGATTCTACTAACTACTGATGAGAGTTGGTGGCAAAGAACCACCCATTCAGTGGCGGAGTTAAAAAATTTTTCATGATACGCACTTTAACAATAAAATTAATTTTTTTTTCACTTGATAAAAGTAACATAACACATTTAAATTTATTATATTACTAGTTATTGCATGTGCTTGATGACACAAAGTAATAAAAAAATGATCAATAATAAACATATTTGTAATCACACTCAAAANTAAAAGAAAATACTTATGATAAATTACAAGTCGTAGAAACACTTTTAAGAAACCACCCTAAACACATTCTTACAGGCCAATTTTTTTTATTAAATTTAGGTTGTTAAAATTAGCCATCGAATTAATTTTAAAATAAAATTTAAAGAAATCTCAACTGTATAAAAGTAAAAGTCATTTTGTTTATCTTTTGAAATTTAAATTGTATTGTATATTAATATATAGACTAGTTATAACCCGTGCCTAAAGGCACAATAGAACATAAAATTCAAGCTNGCGATGGAGGTGGGCGACGGTGATGGTGGTTGGCAGTGGTGATGGTGGGACGACAACGACGGTGGTGGTGGTGGTGGATTGTAGTGGTGGGCAGTGATGACGGTGGTGGCAGGTGACGACGAGTGCTTCTTGACGACAGTGTGATGGGTAATGAAAAATGATGATGGTAGTGGTGGTGGTAGGTGTGATAAGGGTGGGTGACAGTAGCTGGCGACAATGGTAGGCGACGAAGGGTGGTGGTAGGTTGTGGTAGTGGGTGGTAGTTGGCAACAATGATGATGATGGGTGTTGACGATGGGCGACAGTGGTAGTGGTATGATGGTTGTAATGGTAATAAATATAAAAATAAGATAATGATGGTGGTAGGTGATGGCAGTGGACAACTGTGGTAGCAAAGGTGGTGATGGGGTGGCGGTGGTGGTGGTGGAGTGGTGACGATGGCAATATTGTTTGTGGTAGGGGTGATGGTGGGATAGTGGTAGTGGTGGTAGGGTGGCGACAGCGGTGGTGGTAAGGTGGCGATAGCAATGGTGGAGTGACGACGATAGTGGTGGTGGTGGTGGAGCGATGGATGTGGTGGTAGTGGTGATGGGCCGATAGGAAGTAAGGGTGACGGTGGCGGTGGCGGTGGGTGGCGTTAGTGGTGGTGGCGGTGACGATGACGGTGGTGATGGTGGGGCGATAGTGGTGGTTGTTATGACTAAGGTGGCGGTGGCGGTGGCGGTGGCGATAGTGGTGGCGCAGTGGTGGTCAGTGGTGATGGGGGGAAGTTGGGGTGTTGGGATGGCGACGGTGGTGGTGGGGATGGTGGTGCTGGGACAGTTGCAAACACTAGTTTTTTTTAAAAGAAAATACTTATGAGAAGTTACAAGTCGTAGAAACACTTTTAAGAAACCACCCTAAAAACATTCTTACAGGCCAATTTTTTTTATTAAATTTAGGTTGTTAAAATTAGCCATCAAATTAATTTTAAAATAAAATTTAAAGAAATCTCAACTGCACAAAAGTAAAAGTCATTTTGTTTATCTTTTGAAATTTAAATTGTATTGTATATTAGTATATAGACTAGTTATAACCCGTGCCTAAAGGCACAATAGAACATAAAATTCAAGCTACCAAAAAATTGATATCACTATATTAAATAATAATTTTTATTTCCTTCATTTATTTGATTATATCATTTTAAATTTATTTTTATCCATTATTTTTTAAAAAATATTGACTAAATTTTCTCAAAATACGTATTTTGATAAAATTTTCTCAGCATATCGTTTATGAATAATATTTAAAATAAAAATTATGTTAAACTACAAATGAATCAAATATTAAATAATTGAATAAGTGATAGAAATGAGTGAATTGATAGTTTTGGGAGAGAAAATGTATAGGAGATAAAATTCAACTTCTTATGTGTTTTATTATATAGATATTTGATACTCAAATATTTCTTAGATACAAAATATTTCAGCATGCATAGAATGTATCCCAAAAAAATGAAAAGAGGCTAATTATACTTATTTACAATTGATTTCAATGAGTTTTTATACTTTAAAGACGTGGTATGATAACTTCATTATCCATATTACGGAGATTATCTTTCTCTACACAAATAATTAACTCACTTTTTTGAGTATGCAACTTAATCCTCACAATTTTGATAACTTAAAAAAATAAATTCTAAAACTTGTCTATAAGTGTCCATAAAGTGTAAAATGTGTCAAAAATTTATACTTAATTAAGTATTTGTCTATACCATTTGATAAAACAAAAAATTGATAGATTAAACACAAAATATAAACGATGAGCACCATGAAATATACCAATAAAATTTAAAAATATATTAAAAAAAACTTAGTGTGTGCCCCTATGCCCCTAGTCCACTAGTGGCTCCGCCACTGCACCCATTTATATAAATTGGCATTCTGTTTGAAATTTTAAAAAAATTACATCATCAAGTTTTTGATTTGATGTAGCCGCAACAATTGAATGCTTACATAGAGTCAATAAGACCTATTAATTCAACGATAATACTTGCACTAAATCAATGCAAGTATTGGTGGCAAAATCCTGCCACATATATACTAACAGTACAGTAATTTTACATGGACCAAATTTTTGAATCAAATTTAGAACTCAAATGACATGGCAGCATTGGGCCCTAATAAAGACTCTAAATAATATGTTGTTATATCATTTGAACTCTAAATTTAGTCACAGAATTTAATTAGTGTAGCATTGCTGATCTACCGAAGCTTATTCTTAGACCTCGGCTAGATGTATATCACTTATTTCGTTTAAGTGGTAAAAAGTACCACCTGCGATGCCTTGAGCAATGCAAGTTTAAATCTTCACCTTCGTCATTGTTGCATATCAGAAATTTCAATAAAAAAAATGAAACGCAACTATCAAGCCTCCGGTCCATACATGACCAGATAGAATCAAGAATATATAGTTTTACCCTTAACCCCAGAGACTTCATAAATTTTTAAATCTATTGTACCAAGAACAGTATGGAGTAACTTTATAACTGCCTCAACATCACCCTCGAAGATATAGTTGATTTTAATAGGTAACTAACTAGATATTCCATAAGAGAAGAGCAGCAATTTCTCCAAAATAAACACAAAGAGGCCACAATTTTTTGGGTTAAGAAAACTCCAATGGCTTTCATCACAATGTTCTGTCATTATGATTCATGGACAAGTGCAAATAACAATAGAAATCACACAAAGTACAGTAACCATAAGGATGGATCACGTTGTTACATTACATGTAATGCTATCCTTCACCATACACCTCTATCTATAAATAATATATTGTGTGTACAATGTGTGGTGTATCTAGATAAAAGATTCACTGTCCGCATTCTTTCGCTATCAGGTTTCATATCAGAAAGCAGGGCCCCTTAACATAATGGAGGTAGGGTTCAAACTAGAGGTGGAAAATGGGTAGGTCTATAACTGGTTTGGTGCAATATATATCCAATTCGTTTTTCATCCTCTTCATAAACGAGTTATAACATATTAGATCAAGTTGAATTAAACCCTTTAACCCGTAAAATAATCAAAACTCTTGGCATAATCTGATAATCACACGTAGGAGTGGCTGGATACTTACTTCATTAATGTGTATTGTAAATGTGTTGGTTAATATCACTTAATTTAATTAATTGGGTTAAAACGGATTATGAAGAGGGTACCCCAATTGGTTGAGGCCTCATATTTCTATACCGATTGCAACAGTAATAAATCCAAATAAATACACATACTAATACGCCAAATCACACGTCATTTTATCACATACAATAATAATCATATCTTGATTATTGAATAAGATAGTTATATACTTCCCAGCTGCCGCCCACCCCAAAAAAAAAAAAAAAAAAAGCAATTTTGGAAACATGTAGGGCATATGTTTTTTGGTAAGTGGGATCACTCCATAATTTCATGTTGTTTTGATGGGAAACGTCATTCTTATTAGGCTGACACATGGGTCAGCTGAAAGTCTATCAAAGATCAGAGATGTAACAAAACAAATGTTAGTAGACAGCGGATTAGGGGATACCCAACACGAGTTAATTTAGATCACATTCAAATTTTTTTCTTAAGGACGTCAAAATATTTTTTTCATTTAGATAAATCGGACAATTTTTATTTTTTTTTGGGATTTTAGGTGATCTTGAATTAAAATAAATGATTCTAATATTTATGATCGATTTCAAGTATCTCAAAAATTATAATTTAGCCCCAAAAAATTATAACTTCAATCTTAAAATTGTAATATGACCCAAAAAAGTTGAAATTTTTGTAGAATTAATTTTTTTTTATTTTTTTATTACAAAAAATCCAAAAAATTGTTTCACTACCCACAAGACTTATAAATTTCATCACCGTAGTCCCTTTCATATCAAAAAAACTTTAAAAATATCATCCATAAACATGATAAAATTAGCAAAGAATTTAGGTTGGCCCCACAACCAAAAAAGTCTGGCCCCACCTAGACTCTTCCATCAATGTTTTAATTCAATTATTTGTGAACCCATCATGTAAATGATTGGAGGTGGTAAAAGTGATATATGTGCATTCAGTAACATGTTAGCACTCAACGAATAGGTGGAAGTAAGAAGTGAGATCAAACCTGGAAATGGAGTGGACATGTAGTTCGCTAATCTGGCTGGTTTCTTCTTTTTCAGCTGCTCTTCTTCTTCTTCTTCATCTGATCAGCCCAACAAAGGGCAGCAATGGCTCCAATAAAAAGAGACCACCAGGGCCACCAGGATGGCCGATTGTGGGCAATATGTTTGATCTTGGAACAATGCCTCACCAAAATTTGTACCAACTTAGAACCAAATATGGATCGGTTCTTTGGCTAAAGCTTGGTTCAACGAACACCATGGTCATACAGTCTGCAAAGGCTGCTGCTGAACTGTTCAAGAAACATGATCTTCCTTTCGCGGACCGCAAAGTTCCAGATGCACTAACTGCCTTGTGCTACAACCAGGGATCATTGGCTTTTGGCAATTATGGTCCCAACTGGCGCATGCTGCGTCGGGTCTGCTCCATGGAGCTTCAAAACAATAAACGAATCAATGAGTCGGCTTCGCTTAGGCAAAAGTGCATTGACAATATGATAATATGGATCGAGGAGGATTCAGCAGCGTCGCGTGCACAGGGAGGAACAGGTGAAGTGCAACTGCTCAGATTCCTGTTTATCATGGCTTTCAACGTGGTTGGCAACCTCATGCTATCAAGAGATCTTCTGGATATACAGTCCGACGAAGGGCAGCAGTTCTTTGACGCCATGAACAAGTTCATGGGATGGGCGGGGAAGCCTAATGTAGCAGATTTCCTGCCATTTCTGAAATGGCTAGACCCAATGGGGATCAAGAGGAATATGGTGCGGGACATGGGAAAATGCATGAAGATTATCTCTGGGTTTGTCAAGGAGAGGGTTCAAGAAAAGCAGTCAGGAAGAGAGAAGATGAGAAAGGACTTCTTGGATGTGTTGATGGAGTACGAAGGTGATGAAAAAGAAGGGCTTGGTAAGATTTCAGAGAGGAATGTGATCATCATTATCCTGGTAAGTTGGTACTCTACTACTGGTTGTATAGCTTACAAGTATAAATTGACTATTTACCAACCTTTTAATGGTGCAGGAAATGTTTTTCGGTGGATCAGAAAGTTCAAGTAGCACCATTGAATGGGCAATGACAGAACTATTACGCAGCCGTGACTCAATGAAAAACGTTAAGGAAGAGCTTGATAGGGTCGTAAGACCTAATAGGAAGGTCGAAGAGAGTGACATCAATGAACTGCCCTATTTGCAGGCAGTTGTCAAAGAAACACTTCGATTACATCCAGCAATTCCTTTATTGGTTCCACGGAATGCAAGGGAAGATGCCAACTACATGGGATATCTCATAGCCAAAAATACGCAAGTGATAGTGAATGCATGGGCAATTGGAAGGGACCCCGAGGCCTGGGATGATCCTCTATCTTTCAAGCCAGAGAGGTTTTTAGGTTCAGATATCGAGTACAAGGGCCAGCATTTTCAGTTCATTCCATTTGGATCAGGGAGACGGATTTGTGTGGGCTATTCCTTGGCTCATAGAGTTGTTACCCTTGGTCTGGCTAGCTTGCTACACTCCTTTGACTGGGAGCTTGATAGGTATGTGACTCCAGAGACCATAGACATGAAGGAGAGGACGGGGTTAACGTTGCGGAAGCTAGATCCCTTGAGAGCAATTCCCAAAAGACGAACTGTGTGAAAATGAATTGTTAGATAAAACATACCCTGGAGGCCATGGGCATGTAAGATTACTGTTGTGTTCTCCTCTTTATGATTGTATCCAAGCTTGTATGTGATTGACTTCTATGGTCACAAAAATACCTCCTAGTTTTCTTTGTAATATAGAATAACCGATCTTCCTTCCAGCAATTTGAAATTTCTTGAATGTGTATGGCTATATTTTGCAATCTAATAAATAAATTTTGAACCATGAACATTACGTGATGGATTCAAAGCTATTATCAAGTCACATCGTCTTTGTTGAGATTGGCAACAAAACTAGTAATTAAAGAGAACTTGGTAACTTTTCTTTCTTGGGCACTAATAATTAAACTTAGTGATGTTGATAGGTTCATTAGAAATAATATTTAAATCCAAATTAATAAATAAAGCAATAGATCCTATATTGTTAAATAGAACTAAATTTTTTTCCCAAAATTTCAATTTCGTCTTAATCCAATTAATAAAGTTTGTCATGGTCTTATTCTTCATTATATGCCCCCTACACTATCTAAACAAAAAATTATAAGTCACATGTACCAACAAGAACAATGAGTCTTTCGACTATTTCAGAATATGTTCTCAGATATGTCTTTGACCCACATTTAAGACATTAGATCATCTATGTGCGCACACGCATACACACTTTATAGTCCTTGCTCGCAAACTTTCTATTGGATTCATAGACCAAAATTAACATGAATTGAGGTAATTAAGAAGGATATAGTTTCTTGTGATGCGCTTTGACCAAAGCGCAATACTTTTAAAGTAATATTAGTTATTGTCTCTGTCTGAAAGTATAAAATAATAAAAAATGGTCAATAATAAACATATTTGTATAAGTAATATTAGATTGACTTAAAAAATAAACTTGATAATCTCAACCATTGAATAGGTAGTGGATCCCAATAAATGCTGAAACTCACAGAAAAATCAATGGTTGTAATTATCAAGTCTAGTTTTTAAGTCCACGTAGCATTGCTCTATTTGTGTTTGCACTCAAAATCAAATCACAACATAGAAGAAAGAGAAAAAAATATAAGCATTGGTTGTAATGGGGGGTGAGAGGTAGTGAGGCGGTAGTAATGGTGGTAGAAGACGATAAAGGTTGTGGTGGATGGCAATAACCGTGGTGGTGGTGGTGGTGGTGGTGGTGACAGCCGTGGGTGGCAACGGATGATGGTAGTAGTGGTAGTCATGGATGACGGTAGTGGTGGTAGTGGGCAACGGTAATGGTTATTGTCAGTCATGGTGGTGAAGCGACAACGGTGGTGATGGCGATGGTGGGTTATGGTGGTGGGCAGTGACGATGGTGGCGGTGGACGACGACCAATGCTTCTGAATAACAGTGTGATGAGTAGTGGCGAATGACGGTGATGGTAAGTGTGGTGGGGGTGGGTGATAACAGATGGCGACGACGTGTGGTGGTGGGCAACAATATGGTGGTGGTGGGTGGCGACGATAATAGTGAGAAGATGATGATAGTGGTAATAAATATAAGAATGAAATGACGACGATGGTGGGTGATAGCGGTGACAACGGTGGTGGTAGCGGTGGGGTAGTGGGGTGGTGGTGGGGGTAGCGACGACGGGTGGTGATAGTGGTGATGGCTGTGAGATGGTAAGGGTGGTGGTGGTAAGGGTGATAGTGGGATGACAATAGTAGTGGTAAGGTGGTTGCAACAGTGGTTGTGGTGGGGGTGTAGTGATAGGAACGGTGGGACGATGGGGGTGGTGGTGTGGTGGCAGTAGTATGGATGGTGGTAGTGATAGTAGGGATGGTGGTGGTGATGGTGGTGGCGGAGTGGCAATAGTAGGGATGGTGGTGGTGATGGGGTGGCGATAGTGGTGGTGACAACAACGATGGTAGTGGTGGAGTGGCGATAGTGGTGGTGACGACGACAGTGGTGGTGGTGGTTATTGCGGTAGAGGCGATGGTAGTGATGGTGGTGGTGGTAGGGTGGCGACAGCGGTGGTGGTGATGGTGAGGGGGGGAGTGGGTGTGGTGGTGGTAGTTATTATGGCAAAGGAGGTGGTGGTGGTGGTGATGGGGGTAGTTGTGAAGGTGGTGGTAGTGGTGATGGTGGTGAGGGTGGTGGTGGGGCGGCGGTGGTGGTGGTGATAAGACGGTTACAAACACTATTTTTTTTTTAAATAGTTTATAAGAAGTTATAAATTTTAGAAGCACTCTTAAAAAAAGCACCACAAACACATCCTTAGAGGCATATTTTTCCTATTAAATTTGAAGTGTTAATATTAGTCGTTGGATTAATTTAAAAATAAAAGTTATTTTGTTTATCTTTTGAGATTTGAATTGTATTATATTTTATTATATAGATTTTTTAGTTTAATTTGGTTTGGATACATAGTTTAAAGCAATGTTTAAATTGGCCCGACTGGACTGATTGACTCGATGAACCAGAGCTTGAACCAAGCCAGTTTAGTTATTAGATCGTTCATGTAAAAATATTGGATAAAATTCTTTGAGTTGGACGGTTTTGTAACAAATTCGTTGAACTAGACGGTTTCGAACAGACCGGGCGGTGTAATTAAAATGCTATAAAAGTCAAGTTCTAGGGCATTTTTGCCCAATTTGATCGATCTTCATTCTTTGCCCTCAACAACTACCAACGTTCGTGTTTCCTACACTCCGACTACGATGAGGCGACAATTGATTAGTCATCTCTCTCTCTCTCTCTCAACACATCACTTAATCGATCGAAGAACTCATATTCTCAAATCTTCGATTCAGATTATCAGATCTTCGACTTACACTGCAAATCTTCATCTCCTTCATCCTTTAGTCAATAATCTGATGCACATCAAGACAAACTTTTAATTATATTATGTTGAATTATGTTGTAAACAAGGTTTTAATTATATTATGTTGTAAATGACAAATTTTTAATTATGTTATGATATTCTATAATTATGTTGGATTATTTAGAATGTTAGATTTATTTAAAATTTTAGATTATGTTGGCTTGGGCTTGGACTTGGGCTTAGGTGGTTAAGGTGGTGGGGGCCGAGGTGAAGGCGAGGGACGGGATGGGGGTGGTGATTATAAATTTACCCGCAGACGGGGATGGGGATGAAATCTATACCGATAAACGAAGGTGGATCGAAGATGGACGGAGTTTTTTTAAGCGGATACGGGGATGAAGACTACACCCCCCGCCTCTGATTCGCTCCATTGCCATCCCTACAGTGTTCCAATGGTTGAACCAGTAACCTACTCTCTTTGTCAGGTCGATGTTCAAGCCGGATTTTAAAATATTGGTTTAAAGTGATATAAAATTGTTTTCTTCCTTCTATTTCATATTTTTCCTATTGTTTTTCCCCACACGAAAATTCCATGCCTCTTTATGTAGGCTGATATGCCTCTAATTTTATGCCCTTGGTCTCGAGATACAAGTATTTAATGTGTGCATTTGAACACTGCTATCAGATGATTTTGAATAAGAACCAAACAGAATGTAGGTACAGGTGGGGAAATAAAACAAACTCAAGAGGAAATGAAGTTCACCACCATCATATTCTCACATATTAAACCTAAAAAGTTAAGAGTAATGTTATTTGAACCTAAAAATTTAATTTAATTTATTAACATAATGATGTAGTTTCATAGGAATTATTAGATTAATACCAAGTTATAATGTTTGATGGGATCTACAGTCAATCAAAATGTTACAATGAATTAAATCAACAAATTATATCAGAAAATTAAGTCTCAATAACATTGCTAAAAGTTTCCCAAAAAAGATACTGCATTACATTCTCATACCCCAACATTAAGAGGAAGTGTCTTACGCCAAAAATTAAAAAACAGCATTCCTAATACCTTTAATCATATGTTTTTGTTCGGTAAAACTGAAAAGAAATGTCAAAAAAGGTGACAGGAAACTGGCTGTGTGGAATTCAATCAGTATGAAAACAAAATTGGTGGATCTCCAGAGCACAACAAATTTAGACAAAGTTTTAAAGCATAAGAAGACATGATAATGTATATAAAAATCAGAACAGTACCTTAACTACTGGAAGAATGCTTGCTAAGTAATAAGGAACCTCCAAAAGAACAAAATCCGCACTGCGCAATAGACCAAGCAGAAGCAGTGATATCCCTAAACTCAGCACCATTAGTCGTCTAGTGAAGCGAATGAGATCTCTCTTANGGCTTGGGCTTGGACTTGGGCTTAGGTGGTTAAGGTGGTGGGGGCCGAGGTGAAGGCGAGGGACGGGATGGGGGTGGTGATTATAAATTTACCCGCAGACGGGGATGGGGATGAAATCTATACCGATAAACGAAGGTGGATCGAAGATGGACGGAGTTTTTTTAAGCGGATACGGGGATGAAGACTACACCCCCCGCCTCTGATTCGCTCCATTGCCATCCCTACAGTGTTCCAATGGTTGAACCAGTAACCTACTCTCTTTGTCAGGTCGATGTTCAAGCCGGATTTTAAAATATTGGTTTAAAGTGATATAAAATTGTTTTCTTCCTTCTATTTCATATTTTTCCTATTGTTTTTCCCCACACGAAAATTCCATGCCTCTTTATGTAGGCTGATATGCCTCTAATTTTATGCCCTTGGTCTCGAGATACAAGTATTTAATGTGTGCATTTGAACACTGCTATCAGATGATTTTGAATAAGAACCAAACAGAATGTAGGTACAGGTGGGGAAATAAAACAAACTCAAGAGGAAATGAAGTTCACCACCATCATATTCTCACATATTAAACCTAAAAAGTTAAGAGTAATGTTATTTGAACCTAAAAATTTAATTTAATTTATTAACATAATGATGTAGTTTCATAGGAATTATTAGATTAATACCAAGTTATAATGTTTGATGGGATCTACAGTCAATCAAAATGTTACAATGAATTAAATCAACAAATTATATCAGAAAATTAAGTCTCAATAACATTGCTAAAAGTTTCCCAAAAAAGATACTGCATTACATTCTCATACCCCAACATTAAGAGGAAGTGTCTTACGCCAAAAATTAAAAAACAGCATTCCTAATACCTTTAATCATATGTTTTTGTTCGGTAAAACTGAAAAGAAATGTCAAAAAAGGTGACAGGAAACTGGCTGTGTGGAATTCAATCAGTATGAAAACAAAATTGGTGGATCTCCAGAGCACAACAAATTTAGACAAAGTTTTAAAGCATAAGAAGACATGATAATGTATATAAAAATCAGAACAGTACCTTA